AATAAAGCAGTAGGGACAGCAGGTGGCAGATCACTGCCATGATGGCAGGGACAGAGCTGGGGGGAAGTTACGGCAGCGTGAGGGGGAAGAGAATGGAGTCGGGGCTGCCATGGCGGAGGGAGGGATGTGGGGGAGCAGCCCCGAGCCTGAACCTAAACCACCGGTGGCGAACGGGGTGGGAGCAGGGGCGCAGGGCTGGACACAGGGCTCTGTCACCACTGACCCCCTGGGGAGGTGTGGGGGGAGTTACTCCAGCCCCGGCCCCAGCCCTGGCTCCAAAGTGGTGGGGACAAGGGTGTGGGGAGAGAGTCTGGCCCCAGGCCTCTGTCCCTGCCCAGCCCCCACCCCAACAGGCAGCAGCAATGGAGTGGATGGCAGGGGGGCAGGGATAATGGCCCCCTGTCCTGCAAGCAGTGGCAACGGAGCGAACGGGTGGTGGGGGGCGCTGGCCCCATCCCCTCTGCTCCCTGCAGGCCACATAAATGGAGTGGATGGGGGAAGTGGGGGCAAGGCCAGTGCACTGGCCATGCCCCCCTGGCCCTGCAGGTGGCGGCGACAGAGCAAATGGCGGGGTGGCGCCAGCAGATGGAGGGGGGGTGGCCCGGCCCAGCCCAGCCCTGAAGCGGTGGGGGGAGGGAGGGGGGCAGTGGGCCCAGTCCCAAAGGTGGGAGGGCGGGGCCAGATGCAAGCCTCTACCCCTGGCCACCCCTGCCCCTGGCTGTCATTCTTGACAGGCAATTGGCTAGTGACTCTCTTAATATACAATATAGAAGGTGATGGATTCAAGCTCCTTCCCCTTATAAGAGGTTCCTAGCTTCTCCTGGCACTAGGTGCTTGAACTCCAAGACTCACTTTGTAGTAATGTAAATAATTACCTGTTCTATTTCTCTTCCACTCATTGATCCGCTAATATCTATTATAAAAACAACATTCTTAGGCAAATTTTGAAGATCTGTCGGTGCAAAAAAGTGTACAAAGTATCCATTGACAATCTGAAAAATAAAGATAAGAAGAAATTATTCCTCTTCAATACAAAACCCGTGCATACAGTATTTCAAAATCTAACTGGATTTACCTGTAAATCATTTGGCTTGCCTCTCTCAACATCATACTTTATGGTAAAGTCTCCATCCAACAGAGTTGTTGAGCAATTAGCACATGTTCGCTGTTGATTAAGGGTTGGCTTGAAAGACACCTGGCCCTGAAAGCAAAAGCTCTCATAAGACTCAAACTCCAATAACTCAGCATAAAATTCAGAACACAAAAAGGCACCCCTCCTGCCCCCTAATATTTTTTCAGTCTGTCTGAAAAAGTATTAGTTACATCAACATAAATGTCATATGGCAACAGGTTAATGCAGAACAGCTGTTATTTTAAATATGTTATTATCTAGATACATGTCAATAGGGAAGTAGGAAAGATACAGCCAGAGTAGCTGACTATTCTGTGTTAGGGCAGTGACCCAGAGATGGTTGTTTTAAGTCAGCACAATTTAACCAGTCAGAGAAAGAGAAGATTCACAAGATGAAACACTAATAAAAATCAGTTAAAAATAATTGTGTTATCTCATCTATTTCCATCATTGGCAAACAGTGTATTTTCTTTTGCATTAGCCCAATATTTTGCACCAACATTATTTTATAGTAATTTATTTCTGGTTTCCAATTAATTCAGATAACACATTCATTTTCTGCTAAGATGAGTATTCATTGTACCTTTTTTCCTGAGAAAGATTTTTTAATGACATCTGATAAGTCATTGGTGATAAATGTTCCTTCTGCTTCCAGCTCTCTGATACCTTGGGGTTCAAAGATGTTTACCTGAACCTGAAATATTCATTGAAACACACCATCAATTAATAAGACCATAGGTATAACAACTTAGATTACCACTGAACAACTCTACATACAGAATAGGAATTTTCTTAATAACAAAGGAAATCTGCTTCTATAATTCAAAACAGCAATTTAATCCCATGTTTGAATCAAAGATGAACAGGCACTCAGACATTACATAACTTATTTCTATGATTTAAAAGTCCTATGGAGAATGAATTTGATTTGCTAGCTGCTGACAAGAATTTTGGCCACATATTGAATAACCACTTATTCCCTCTGAGAATTTTAAAATACTCCTTCCTTCTGAGAACATTAGCAATAGCTTGGGCCAGATTTCAATTTGATTTCTTTATGCTGCAATATGTTGTTTTTCACATATGCACAGTGCTCTAAATAATGGTTTACACATTCCTTGAAGTACTAAGTTTTGAGGCACGGTCATTTAGGCTAAGTACAGATAGTCAAAAAGCCAGAGGCTGAATCGATTCAGTTTTTGCAGATTAATCTAAACTGCACAGACTGAACTGATAAACAAATGAACAGACATTCACTTTTGATTTAGGAAATGCAGGAGCTCAAGCCAGAAACTGGGGGGAGCTAGAGCACACCTGCCAGGCACTGCCAAAGGGAAGGGAGGAGAGAAGCCCTCTAAGGCTTTCCCCACCCTACTCCAGAGGAGGGAGCGTGGCCAGGCACCAGCCTAGGGCTAAACTGCTGGAGGGTGGGGCCCCAACCCGGGTCTGCCTGGTGGGGATGGGCAGTGCCTGCCAGGCTTATGCCCCCGCTTTCCACTTGGGGGTGGGGAAGGGAGGCAGCCACTGCCAGACTGAAGAGCAAGGGTGGGGGTGGGGAAAAGGTAGTGGCATTGAATTCATAAAAGCTTGAAGAAGAATTGTCCTTTCTCTGAACCAAGCACGTATTGAACACAGCACTTTGCAACCTCAAGCATAAGACAGAACAATCAAAAACCTTTGCCTGAGCTAAGATACAGCCCATTAAAACACAGTGAGAGCACACATAGCTTAGTCTGACTTAAAATGGAATGTAATAAACCAAAAAGACAAGAGAAAGCCTTGCATAAGTCTTATGCAGTCCTGAGGGCAGTGTCTCCTTACAGTCAGGTATTCAGAAAGTCCTTGCTTAGGTATTCCAGTCTCCCACCTTTTACAGGTTGTGCTTTATAATTTAAATGTAGTTCTCTGCTTTCTTTAGTCACACTAGCTCATGCTGTCTGCAATCGTTTCCTGTTCCTTTGTCTCAAGGACATACAAGTGATAATTGTGCCAGGTCTTTGCCAACACTAGGGCTAGAGGGACTGGTCTCCCACCTCTGTCTGGTCCTGCAGGGCTTGGCTCTGTGCTCACAGATGGCAAGGGACCAGTCCCTCCAGCCCTAGTTCCCTAGCCCCTTCCCCCTCCCCCATGGCCTAGGGGAGCATGGGGAGTTATGTAAGCCCCCTCCCCCTCCCCTTACCAACTGCTAGCAACAATCTCTGCCAGAGGTGGAAGGGGGTGGAGTCTTCCAGTCTCCTGCCATTTCTAAATGTAGTTTTCTGCTTTCTTTGGTCACAGCAGCCAAAGCAATTCCTCTCCTGTTCCCTTAGCTCTATTTCCAGCACTTACATATTATGATTGTGTCAGGTCTTTGCCAACACCTCCCACCTCTCAGTCTGGTCCTGAAGAGCTTGGTGCCAGCACACTGACCTGGGGAAGTGGGGATTAAAGCCCCTCTGAGACCCCAGACCACAAACCAGGATTTGACTGGGGGGACAGTACCTCTCAGACTATTGCCTGCCCGCTAACCACACCCTGCTCCAGCATAGAGCAAGGGGTGTAGGCAGCATACTGAATTGGGGACAGGGGGGATTAAAGCCCCTCTGAGACCCCAGACCCCAGCAGGGGTTTGTCTGGGAGGGCAGTCCCTCTCAGGCTGTTGCCCCACCCTGCCCCACACTCCTACCCCCTCCACTCGAGGGGGGAAAGGTCTGGCAGGGGCTGCCCCCCTCCCTCTCAGAAAGACTTGGCTGCAGTCCCCACCCAGGTTTCCAGCATCCACCCCTTTGCCAGTCAGCCCTCACTGCTCTGGAAAGAGAACAGAGGGATGGGGCCAGCCTTGTTCTCTGGAGCAGACAGCCCAGCCCAGCCCAGCCCAGGTCTGCAAAGCATGCTGGGGGACTCTGATTTAACTTAAACCAGGAAGGGGTCTGGGACAGAAGTTGCATAAACCAGTTTGACCTCAATCACTTAAGTCTGATACTAAGATCAACTTAAACCACTTTTGGCCATTTTGAAACTTGTTTGTGTGTCCTGAACTTCTGTTCTGTTGCAGGTTTACACCAGTTTCTGATCACTTAAACTGGTTTATGTGTAACTTCTGTCCCTAGCCTTAGAGCATCCTCTGTACATACACACTAGAAAATTCTTGAACTACAGGTGGGCTTTACCACATCAGGAGGGAAGGCAGACAACAGGATTTTCCACACAGCTTCTGGAACAAAGTAAACCTTGACTTGTTTGAAGGCTAAGCCAGGAGAACACAGAACATGGTATGTGTACCAGGCCCGTCATACATTACATTTATGGCACAATTAATACAAACTAGCAATTATCAAACTAGACAAATATATTCCACAAAATACGCAGAACATTTTTATGGCTGGTTTATATGCCAGCATGAACTGAAGGTGTAGTATATCTCCATGCTGATGCTGACAATCTGCTGATTTTCAGCACTGGCATCTGGAAAGGGGTCAGCATTAGGACTGAGATAGCCTTGGTTCCAAAGCCAGAAATGGGCTGCTGAGGCAGCAAGCTGCTACTAGGAACCTGGTAAGCCCTGCATCCAGAAGTCTTTCCTGCTCTGCCCTGTACAATGTCGTACTTGAAAATGTTAGGCCACAGGGTGCCCTGCTTCCTAATCCAGCAGAATGACTGCCTTACTTGCCGTTCCAGTGGGTGCAGCAGTGCTGAGAGCAGGGTGGAGATGGGGCCATGAGGCCTGGTGTCCAGAGCAGGGCAGAGATGGGGCTAGAAAGCCCAGTGCCCAGAGAAGGGCAGAGACAGGGTCAAGGGGATCAGTGCCCAAAGCAGGGCAGAGATAGAGCCAAAGCAGGCAAAAGCTCTAAGCAAGGCAGAGACAGGGCTAGAGAACCCAGTGCCCAAAGCAGGGTACAGAGCCATAGTAGGAAAGACAAGGGCTGGAACCCAGAAGCTGGGTCCAGTACAGTGGGCTAAAAGGCCCTGCAAGAGAAAGGGGACAGAGGCCAAGAAGGCTGAGGCCTCAGCAGGGGAAAGAGCCTGAATGATAACACCAGCAAGGCATGGACATAGCTGTAAAGGAGATAGGAGGCAATGAACACAGCCCTTAAGGTACCTGGTGGCAAGAGACATGAAGAGAGACAGGCAGAAGAACTGGACAAGTGGTTTCACTGGGGGACTTGGGCCATCTCCCAATCCTTTTCTTTTCAAATAACATTCAAGGTGTGGTAGAAAAGTGAGAGAGAGGGAAGGACCCCAGGAAATGGAGGAGACAGGAGGCCGGTGGTCACCAGAGGGCACGACCATGCCATTCAACCCAGGCAGGGGGTCAGATTTGAAGATCTATAAGGTCCCTTCCGACCCTACTTCTATGACTTCTATGAACCCAGCTACAGTCCACAGATCAACAGTGACCTAGGACTGTGTCCTTTTCTCCAGTTGTGAACCCATGTGGATGAACACAGCCTCCCACTTGCAAAAGCAGCACAGAATTTGATTGTACCTTTAGTTAATATCATTTGCATCTATAACTGCAAAATATAATCACTGCTAGATACAATTAAATTCACATTGCCATTTACCTCAAAGTTTTTGACAAGCTGCTTTGGTTTTACTTTGATGAACATTTCATATTTTCCAAACTGTCGTTTCAACAGTTCCTCATAGGTCAGTTCAAAAGTGACTTTACTGGCTGCTGCGATGTTGACTGAAACAGTGAATTTTTCAGTTTTTCTTCCAGAAGCCCTAGAAATGTTCAATGAACAAATCACAAATTAAAAAAGGACGTTTGTTTCCTCTTCACTGCTGTGTACCTACTTAAGACCCAAGCCCAAAAATGAGTGTAACAGAAATTAGATTTCTGTGTCTGATTGTTAGCTTACAGTCATGCCAAATAGCATTACACAAGTAGTCCAGAATAACAAGTTACAACTATATAATTTCTCAGTCAGTAAAACATTCTCAATCAATAAAAACTGAAGAACTGACTTTTCACTAGGTGTGCACTGATAGCGATTTTTTGGGCCGATACCAAGGGCCAATTTTTAAGAAGCCATATTGGCTGATGCCAATCTGATTCCAATATGCAGCAAGGTAGCTTAAACACGAGCATCGGGCTGGTAAGTCTGTTGTGGGGGAAGGGGTGGGGGGAGGGAAGGGTCATGGATGGGGGCGCAGATTGAGGCCCCCACAGTGAGGGAGGGAGTGGGGTTGGGAAAGGGGCAGGCGCTGCCCACTCAGGGAAGGATGGGGCATATGATGGAGCTACAGGTCGTCCAGGATGCATGGGGGGGGCACAGCTCCCACCCTGCATGCAACTCAGGAGGGCATGAAGGGCGTGTGCCCCTGGATCTGCATGCGGGGTGAGGGCAGTTTACTGCTGTGGGCTGCAGCTGGGAGCTGTGCCAGGCGCTTCCCAGCAAGGGGCTAGGCTGGGCTGCACTCAGGGCAGGCGGAGGCAGTGCTGGGAGGGAGCTACGGAAGGGGCTGCAGCCACCCCAAAATTTGCCATAACTTCCCCATAGCCCCACTCCCAGCACCACCATCACCCACCCCAAGTGCAACCCAGCCCAACACCCCTACCAGGAAGAGCCCAGCGCCACCCTAGCCCAGCCTGCAGTGGCAGTCCACCCCGCCCTCGCCCCACACATAGATCCAGGGACACAGGTCCCCCATTCCCTCGCCAGGGTGCACAACCTGCCCCACCCCACCCCAGCTGAGTAGCACCTACCCCAGCCCTACTTCCTCCCTCACTGTGGGGGCCTTGATCT